ATATTGTCACTACTGGTGGCTATATATTTCTTGCAAACTCCCATGCATAGCCATTAATAAAGTTGAAAATAATAAATCATGATCTCTTTTCGTAATATTGTTCTTCAGGAATAAATTTATGGCATGAACTGCCATGTGAATCAATTAGGCTCCTTAGGACCAATGAACAAAAACTATACTATTAGTAGCAAAAAATAGGTATATCTGATATGGAGGAAGTACTAACCTTTTGAGTAAAAATTTTAATGATGGCGATTGGATCTAATTTATAGCCATAGACTATTTGAGTGAGAACTGATGCCTTTGGACGAGGATAACTACAATAATATATGTTTCAAAGTACGTGCTCAAGGCAGAGTCTCGTGCTATCATGTTATAAAATAAAACTCTAAAGTAAAGAAATCGAAGTCAAGTATAGAGCTCTAAAGTAAAGAAATCGAAGTCAAGTATAGAGAGAGATTGATATATTATTCAACTTCAAACTGATGTACATAATAAACTGAAAATTCCTCTATTTATAGAAGAAAGGAAGCAGCTGCGATGCTTTTCAGGAAGTAGCTGCGAGGCTTTCAGGAAGCAGCTGCACGGCTTTTCAGGAAGCAGTTGCGAGGCTTTTCTTGAACTGCTTGTAAGTTGTCTGCATGAGCTGCTAGCAACCTGCCTGTTTAATAAGAAGCTGCTGCAAATCATTTCATTGAGTTGCTTGCAACCTGCCTGCATCAGCTGCTCGTAAATAAACTTCAATAGAGTACTAAACGGATAATTTTCTTCAGGAAAATTATCTATAGCGTAAAATTAAATGAACATCCACAATATAACATTTTCATAACGACTACTTGGTATACAACTTTTTCCCTTTAAGAGAAGTCAAATAGTGATATCTTGCTTGTTTGATTGTTTCAGGGAATTAATGCATCATACATCTAATCATCATTTGGAGCTTGTCAGGGTACATAACTGTTCATTTTGTTTGATAGTTTCATGGCGGCTTTTCTCGTCCGCCGACTACCTTAGTATATGGCTTTTTCACTTTGTTTGGTAGTTTTGAAGGCATCATTCATCATTTAGCTAATACTACATGAGTATACAGCTATTTCCCTTCAGGGATTTTTTATGTCAAACTTAAATATACAAAATCCTGTGCAATTGCTGCTTTTAAAAAAAGGACTAATCCAATTAAAATATTAATATTCCACGCAATATGTGTTGGGATAAGTTTGAGTTGAGCGCTGAAGAAAAAAAATGCATATGGTAGAAACGAATGTGGGATGTAATTGAAAAGATGTCATATCAGATTTTAGCTTTAATTAATTAATTGATTCTTTGAAATTTGTGAAAGTTAAATTACCTTAACATATTGGTAATTATGAACCGAGGAAGTATATAGTATAACCCATGTTTCCGAATCATTATTTCTAAACATGCATGCGGTCCTTTTTTTTTTTTAATTTAAATTTTCTCAATAATTTTCTATGATTACACTAGGTTGATTTTATATAATTGTGTCACAAGTATAGCGCCTAGGATGAATTCCAACGAAGCTATAGATGAGGATGAGAGGAAGTTATACATTGGGAAATGATATGATGAAGTCCCAATTCAAATTCAAAGTTATAGATGAGGACGAAAGGAAGTTGGCTACCATACCTAGCTAACTAATTAGGATTGAGCTAGTAAAGGAAAAAGAAAATAAATTTGGAAGTTTATCCTCTGTTGCATGCCGTCGGTATCCACGTTTAGAATCTCAAATTGCTTTTGTCCTTTTTCACGTAATTCAGGCTATTTAGCTTCCAACATTTCTCCATGCATAAATATTACGTACTACAAAAAATCCAAGGACGAAATACCGGCTCCCTTCTCGGAAACAGAAAATGGCCTGTACTTCAAACAGAAGTAGTGATTGAAAGGAGGAAGAATCTCTATACGAGACATGGATGAATCTTCAACGTGAAGAACTGACAGAGCTTGAACAAGCTGCAACTCAGGCCAGAAACGGCCATATGGATGTCAGAAAATTAACAGAATATGGAACAAAATAATTAGGCCTTGATAGTGTAGTCACTGTCATTAATAAATTTAAGCCTCCCAATTTTGTTGCTGCAGGGATTACGGCAGAATTCCTCCAGGATTCTACAAAGCCTCTGAAATCCGAGTTTCAGCAATTAACTCGAATTTCTCACAAGAACAGAATAGTTGTGAGTTGTAGAAAATAAGTAGAAGAGAAAGAGATGAAAGTTTCAGATGATTTCGTTTTGAAGATGATATAGTATTTATAATACTTCTAGGAGTCTGTTGGAATTAACAGGCTCATCTCTTCATAACAGGCACCTTTTAAAACCAAAAGTCACATTCTTTTGAATTTAAAACAAAGATGTTAAAAATGTTTTCTGAAATAAAAAAGCAAAAACATTTTTAATTAATTAAATAATGGGTGACTAAAATATTAATTCGGGCTACTTAGTTGGCCCAAGTGTCCAATCATGACTATTAATAATATAGTCAAATTCCAATTTCCCTCCAAAATACCCTAAAAAATATTCAAACTATATAAGACAAAGAAGTGCTTTTAAACACATCTTTCTTTCTTTCTTTTTCCAATGATGGACAAAACAACCTCTTCTCAATACTCCCATCAAACACTAACTAATCTAACAATCCCCCACTTAGTTAGTGATTGATGTTGTTTATGTGATTCATGCATATAGTAGGTATCTTTCTATTTAAACCTACTACTTATATAAACTATTCAAGACCTTGTCGGAATTGATGGTTAGATTAAGTTCTATTAAACCACAATTCCTATATGACAAGACGGAAATGCTTTATATACATAAACCGTACCAACTCAACAACTTGTTCACCGTGAGTTTTGGCACCCGATTATGGCCTTGTGCTACTTCCTAAATTCATAAACACTTATCAAGTTTTGTATTCCAAAATTTGATTGAAGCGGCACCACTTCTTGTGTTTACATAGGTGAAGATTTAACCAAATTCTTAACACGGACTTCTTTAGTTCCTAAACTGAACTCTGCTTCTTCATTAAGAGTATTTTTATACTCATCCTCCTTTTCAAGGTACTAATTTCAAGTACCTGCTATCCGTCACAACTATAACTTATTATTACCTTTTAAACCTTTAATATTGTTAAATAATAAGAAAGGTAAGATTCCTGTTACTAGTGACAAATTTAAATTACCTTAGACCCATAGCACTTGTTATGCTTATTATCATATCCTCGCGAGTCCTTTAGTAAATGAGTCAGCAAGGTTGTCTTTAGACTTGATGTACACAACAGTAATAATTTCATCCGAAACTAATTGTCTTATGTACTCATGTCTTAAAGAAATATGTCTAGATTTTCCATTGTATATTTTGCTAAATGCCTTAGACATAGTTGCTTCACTATCACAGTGCAAGAGAACAGTTGGCATGGGTTGTGGCCACAACTCTATATCTAACAGTAGATTTCTCAGCCATTCCGCCTCTTTTCCTGCAGCTGCTAAATCAATAAACTCAAATTTCAATGTGGAATGAGTAATATATTTTTGTTTCTTTGAAGCCCATGAAATTCCTCCTCCACCTAGAGTGAATATCCACCCAGACGTTGACTTGTTATCACCAACACTAGCTATCCAACTAGCATCACAATATCCTTCTAACACTGAAGGAAATCTGTTATAATACAAGGCAAAAGTTTTTGTCCTTTTCAGATAACCAAGTACCATCACTATACCTTTCCAGTGATCACCACTTGGATTGTGAGTATATCTTGACAATTTACAAATCGCAAAGGCAATATCTGGCTTAGTGCAGTGCATAGCACACATTAAACTACCAATTGCACTAGCATAGTCTAATTGACTAATAGATCTTCCATGGTTCTCAACCATCTTGCTAGAAGCATCAAATGGAGTATTAAATTCTTTAATACCCAAATGATTAAATTTGGAAAGAACCTTGTCAATATAATGAGACTGACATAAGGCAAAACCCCTACTATGTCTTTAACACCTAAGATATTATCAACTTCTCCCAAATCTTTCATTTTAAATTGAGATGTTAAATACTTCTTAGTTTCATTTATGATTTGCATGTTAGTTCCTATGATTGGCATGTCATCAACATAAAGACATACTATCACTCCATAGTCCTTTGTGAATTTGGAATAAATGCATTTATCTGCTCCATTATGTTTAAAACCATTTGATAATATAACACTACCAAATTTTTTATGACATTGTTTTGGGGCTTGTTTTAATCCATACAAGGACTTAACTAATTTACAAACTTTCTTCTCATTTACAGGAGGCACAAACCCTTCGGGTTGCTCCATATAAACTTCTTCATCAAGATTACCATTTAAGAATGCCGTCTTAACATTCATTTGATGGACATTTAGATTATATATTGATGCCAAAGCAAACAATCTCTTATTTATAATCCTGGCCACATGAGCATATGTGTCAAAATAATCGGCTCCTGCCTTTTGTTTAAATCCTTTGGCTACTAGTTTAGCTTTAAACGTTTATAGAGAACCATCAGTATTGTATTTTCTTCTAAAAACTCATTAACACCCAATAAGTTTAGTATTAGAAGGTAAATTTGCCAATACCCATGTACCATTTGATAAAAGAGAATCCATTTCATCATTTACAGCTTCTTTCCAGAAAGCGGAGTCCCGCGAAGCCATAGCCTCAGTATAGGTTTTAGGATCCTCTTCTAAATTTAAAATAATGGGTATTTTATTTAATACTTTATCTCTACTTCCTTCAACCAGAAAGACTAGTGCTTGAGAAGAAATTAATATAGTCAAATTCCCAATCTTAACTATTAATAATATAGTCAAATTCCAATTTCCCTCCAAAATACACTAAAATATATTCAAACTATATAAGATAAAGAAGTACTTTTAGACACCTATTTCTTTCTTTCGTTTTCCAACGAGGGACAAAACAATCTTTTCTCAAATACTCTCATCAAACACTAACTAATCTAACAATGGATGACCAGGAAATGAAAAAACTCATACAAAAGATTACAAATAACTTCCAAGAATACTCAAACAACCGTAAACGCGTAGCCCGAATTGACATGTCACCATTCTTCGCACCTACCTCATGCACCTCATTGGAGAACTCAGTCGTATGGATCAGTAGTTGTAGACCGTCTTCTTTCATACCTTTCATCTACGCCCTCTGCAGCATCGAAATTGAGTCTCATCTCACTGAGTTCTTTCAAGGGACCAAAATAGGCAAACTCGCCGAGCTAACGGCAAAACAAATAACCATGGTCGACGAGTTGCAAGGCAAGACAATTAAAAAAGAGAGGAAGCTCTGTTCGAGATTGGCTAGCTTGCAAGCAAAGATAGTTGACCAGCCTCTCGCTAGCAAGCTGAAGAGAGATAATGGGGATGAGGGAGAGGACTGCGGGAATATAGATGAACTTTTAGATGAACATAGCCATGAAATGGCAACTATTGTGGAAGAAGCTGATGACTTGTGAGGGAGATTGAATGCTTACTTACACCAGCTCAGGCAGTGGAATACTTAGCAGCAGCCAAGAGGCGAGGCTTTGTTTTCAACAATAGGGCAAGAAAAGGGATCGATTAAATTCTGTTGATTAGAGTAGTTCAATCTCTTGTATGTATAAAAGGTTGGATAGTTCTATTTTGATGGTGTATACGGCCAAAATCAGGTTTGCCCGATTTTGCTAATTAATCGACACTAGGGGATCACATCGAGGGTTAGCCTCGTAATGGATCAAGCTATAGCACGAAGAAGAGGTATCGAGTTCAAGAATCAAAGTGTCTGTTGAAACTGAGTCCTGCAGCAATCGAGAACTAAGTATGACCGACTTCGAGTGAAATGCAATAACGGAAAAGCGAGATATCCGTAACAGGTCGAAGATCACGGCGGGAATCTCGGAACAGATCAAATCAAGAGCGGTTATTTGTATCAATATGGGATTTACCTCCATTTTTAGAATTGTACTATAATTAGGATTCCTTTAGTATATAGAGAGGGGTCCCCATCATTTGTAAACACCTTATATTCACGAATACAAAAGCAATATAATTTTTCTGTCTTTTGCTCATCAACTTGTTGCTCTTTACCTATTCTTACTTTGCCAAGCTCGAAGGTTTATTAGCTAAAGGGCATTGATCAAACATTGGTTTGCTTTGTATTATTGTCAATTTACATTATTTATCATTACGTTTATCAACTAGTATTAGGTGAAATCGCATATCCTTAAAACCACATTATAAGTTTAATTGTTATCCAGTTTTTAGGGTAAACAGTTTGGTGCCCACCGTGGGGCTAAGGATAATAGTGATTGCCTAGTATTAATCCTCATAACACACATTACTTTTACACTTGTTCTTGTAAGTGTCTTTGATTTCAGGAATCAACATGTCAAACTCTCAAGCACCGCCCACTCACACAGACACCAGCCTTGGTCTTCATGGAGAGCACATAGTCGCCCTGGGAAACGGAGTACCTTCATTCAATCCCGATGGACCACAGGCCATAAATCCAATCGATGTCAGTTCTCGTATTACGATCCATGGAGATTTAGGCGCTGACCCTGAAAATAGCATCCGCAGAGACGCTCGGGCAGCCGATCAGAATGCACAGAGCAGTGAAGAAGGTGGGATTAGCCTTCGAATGATATTTGAAATGTCACAAACTCAGGAGGCTGCAATAATGCAACTCCAGAATCGAACACCAAGCAGGATCGAACTCGATACATCATAGGAGGTTGCTCATAGGGTCGAACCTGTACGGGAGAAGTTGAACGATAATGGATCAGGGATTGACCCCATCGTCATGAAGATGCTCGAGGAGCTCACTAAACCGATAGAATCGGATGAAAAGAAAATCGAGGCTAATGACAAAAAGGAAGAAACGTATAACTCACGAGTTGGCCAAATACCGGGGGCACCCCCGACCCTAAAGGGTTTGGATTCGAAGAAGTTCGTGCAGCAGCCTTTTCCTCAAAGTGCGGCTCTGAAGCCCATTCCTAAGAAGTTTTGTATGCCGGATATCCCCAAGTACAATGGGACCACCGATCCTAATGAACACATCACTTCGTACACATGCGGAATAAAGGGAAAGGACTTAGAAAATGATGAGATTGAATCCGTTTCGCTGAAAAAATTCAAAGAAACTTTATCGAAGGGGGAAATGATATGGTACCACAATTTGTCGCCCAACTCCATCGATTCTTTCGCCATACTTGCTGATTCGTTCGTAAAGGCACACGCCGGAGCAATAAAGGACGTGACCAGGAAGTCGAACCTCTTCAAAGTGAGACAAAAGGACAAAGAAATGCTAAGGGAATTTGTATCTCAATTTCAAATGGAACACATGGACCTACCCCCGGTTACCGATGATTGGGCTGTCCAAGCCTTTACTCAGGCTTTGAACGAGTGAAGTTCGATATCACGTCAACTAAAGCAGAATTTGATTGAAGATCAGTGACCTGGGCCGATGTGCACAATCGATACCAATCAAAGATTAGAGTCGAGGATGATCAGTTGGGAGATCCATCCGGCTCTGTTTACCCAAACAGGGCCGAATGCAGGATTCAAAGAGACATCGATAGAGAGCCCGATCGAATAGAGATCGATACCAACCATACAGTGCAGATCAAAGAAATAACGGACCAGGACGTAATCCCACTCGAAGCGATCAAAGGATTGATCGAGGTAAAAATTATCGAGGGCTGATGAGCAAGAATGGCTTCTATAAACACGCCGAGCCTAAGGAAGAACCACGGTTATCGGAGTACAACTTCAGCGTTGATGCTTCAGGTATTGTGTTAGTTACTGAACGAATCAAAGATACTAGGTGGACCAGACCCTTACAGACTGATCCAGCTCAAAGGAATCCAAATCAAATGTCCAAGTACCATGGAACCCATGGTCACAGAACAAAGATTGTAGACAGTTAACGGATGAGGTAGCTCGCTTATTCAACGAGGGTCACCTTCGAGAGTTCTTGAGTGACCGAGAAAAAATCACTTCAGAGACAGGGATGCAAACAGGAAAAACGAATAGGAGGAACCACATCACGTGATTCATATGATCGTCGGTGGGATCGATATCCCTCAGGGTCCGACATTTAAACGCACCAAAGTCACAATCGCAAGGAGAAATGCACCCGGGACTATTTACCATAAGATACCTTATCTTTCAACGATGATGATGCAGAAGGGATCGAACAGCCTCAGAACGACGCACAGGTAATATATATCCTTATGAATAAAAATTTAAGTAAAACGTCTGTTGGTTGATCCAGGTAGCTCGGCGAATATTATTCGATCGAGGGTCATGGAGCAGCTCGGCCTTCAAGGTCAAATTGTACCTGCAGCTCGAGTGCTCAATGGTTTCAACATGGCGAGTGAAACCACCACAGGGGAAATCATATTGCTAGTGAACGTGGCCGGAACCATCTAAGAAATGAAGTTCCACGTGATGGAAGCTGATATGAGGTATAATGCGCTGCTCAGAAGACCTTGAATCCATAATATGAGGGCAGTACCTTCAACGCTTCATCAAGTCTTGAAATTGCCAACACCGAAAGGAGTAAAAATGGTGTACGACGAACAACCAGCAGCAAAAGAGATGTTTGCAATCGACGAGGGTGATACCTATATCCACTACGACATCAATAAAGGGACAAGAATCAAGGAAAAAGCAGAAGGTTAAATAGCAACCACAGTTTCCGGCTTCGACTAGATCGGAACAGCAGGAAATTATCGAGGATGATGATTACATGATACCTCGAACCTTCGTAATCCCCGATGATTTCGATGCCATGAAATCAACGGTTGAAGAGCTGGAGCAAGTCATATTGATCGATCATCTGCCCGATCGAAAGGTATACCTGGGCACCGGGTTAACTCTCGACCTCAGGGAAAAACTCATTAAATTCCTTATCAAAAATATGGATTATTTTGCTTGTTCCCACCTTGACATGATAGGGATCCCACCAGAGATCACCACTCACCGATTAAGTGTGGAACCGAAGTTCAGACCGGTAAAACAAAAGAGAAGGACACAGTCCGAGGTAAAGCATGCGTTCATTAAGGACGAGGTAACCAAACTTCTCAAAATAGGGTCCATCCGGGAAGTAAAATATCCTGAATGGTTAGAAAACGTGGTTTTAGTCCCCAAGAAGGGGAATAAACTTAGAATGTGTGTAGACTACAAAGACTTAAACAAAGCGTGCGCTAAAGACTCTTTTCCCTTGCCAAAAATCGATCGCATGATTGATGCCACGGCCGGCCACGAACCTCAGCTTTCTAGATGCCTAATCTGGGTACAACCAAATACAAATGAACCCGGAGGACCAGGAAAAGACTTTATTTATCACTAAGTACGATACTTATTGCTATAATGTAATGCCGTTTGGGCTAAAAAATGTTGGTTCTACTTATCAATGCCTAGTAAATCGAATGTTCGAAGAACAAATAGGTAAATAAATGTAGGTATATATTAATAACATGTTAGTTAAGTCACTGCACGCACAGGACCATTTGACACATTTGCAGGGAACTTTCAACATATTGAGAAGATACAACATGAAGCTCAACCCCGAGAAATATACATTCGGAGTCGGTTCAGGCAATTTCTTTGGCTTTATGATGTCAAATCGGGGAATCGAGATGAGCTCCGACAAAATCCAGGCAATCGAAGACATCGCAGTCATAGATAGTGTTAAGGCCGTACAAAGATTAACAAGGCGGATATCCGCTTTAGGCCAGTTCATCTCGAGGTCTTCGGATCGAAGCCACAAGTTCTTCTCACTTCTCAAAAAGATGAGCAGCTTTACCTGGACCGTGGAGTGACAACAGGCATTGGAAGAATTAAAACGATATCTTTCGAGCCCACCATTGCTACATACTCCGAAAGTGGATGAGCAACTCTACTTATATTTGGAAATCTCGGAGATTGCAGTAAGTGGTGTCCTAGTTCGAGAAGAGAAAGGTATGCAATTTCATATTTACTATGTTAGCCAAACTTTAGGTGAGGACGAAACCCGGTACCCACACTTAGAAAAATAAGCACTTGCCCTAATAAGCGCCTTTAGGAAATTAAAACGTGATTTTTAATGCAATTCTATCTTTGTTGTAACCACCTACCCCCTTCGCAACATTCTGCACAAGCCCGAACTCTCGGGCCGACTGGCCAAATGGGTCGTAAAAATCAGTACGATATCGAGTATCAACCCCGAACGGCCATCAAGTCTCAAATCTTAACATATTTCGTGGACGACTTCACACCAACCCTCATACCTGATGTCGAAAAGGAACTATTGCTTAAATCGGGTACATCCTCTGGGGTATGGACTCTTCTCACAAATGGTGCTTCAAATGTGAAGGGGTCCGGGCTAGGCATCGTTTTGAAGCCACACAAAGGCAATACGATTAGGCAGTCTATCAAATCTTCAAAATTGACTAACAATGAGGCCGAGTATGAGGCCATAATTGCAGGTCTCGAGCTAGCGAAGAGCTTGGGAGTCGATATCATCGAGGCCAAGTGTGACTCCCAACTTGTGGTAAATAAGGTCAACAGAACTTTTGAGGTTCGGGAGGATCGGATGCAGAGGTACTTAGACAAGTTACAAGTGTCTCTACATCGATTTAAAGAATGGACGCTACAGCACGTACCTCAGGAATAGAATGGTGAGGCTGATGCCCTCGCAAATTTGGGGTCGTTGATCGATGATATTGAACTGAGCTCGGGGACTGTCGTATATCTTTCGAGGTCAATGATCGAAGAGGGCCATGCCAAAATAAACTCCACAATCCCAACTTGGGATTGGAGGAATAAATATATCGAGTATCTAAAAAGCGGGAAGCTTCCATCAGATCCTAAGGAATCAAGGACCCTTCGAACAAAGGTCGCACGATTCATATTGGCGGAAGATGGAACATTATACAGAAGGATGTTCGATGGACCGTTGGCAGTATGTTTAGTCCCGGTAGATACAGACTACGTTCTACGAGAAATTCATGAAGGTACTTGCGGAAATCGTTCTGGCGCCGAATCACTGGTTCACAAAGTCATCAGAGCGAGATACTATTGAATCGATATGGAAAAAGATACTAGGTAATTTGTTCGAAAATGTGACAAATGCCAAAGTCATGCACCGGCGTTCCACCAACCCGGAGAGCAACTCCATTCGGTCCTATCCCCGTGGCCATTCAGGAAATTGGGGATGGACATCGTCGATCCTCTACCATCGTCCCCAGGTAAAGGTAAATTCATTTTATTTATGACAGACTATTTCTCTAAGTCGGTTGAAGCACAGGCTTTTGAGAAAGTCAAAGAAAAAGAAGTCATAGACTTCATATGGGATCACATCATATACGGATTCAAGATACCGGCCGAGATAGTGTGCGACAATAGAAAATAATTTATCGATAGCGAATAATGAAGTTCCTCGAAGATCACAAAATAAAAAGGATATTAACAATGTCGTATCATCCTAGTGGGAATGAACAGGCCGAATCAACGAACAAAACCATCATTCAAAACCGAAAGAAGAGGTTGAACTACGCTAAGGTGAAATGGAGAGAAATGTTGCCCGAAGTGCTTTGGGCATATCGGACAATGACAAAATCCAGTACGGGGGCAATGTCGTTCTTCTTAGTATATGGCGCCAAAGTTTTGATACCGGTCGAGGTCGGGGAATCGAGCGTCAGGTTTTGATACACAACGGAAGAATCAAATCACGAGGCTATGAACACAAGCCTCGAATTGTTAGACGAAAAACAGGAAGCCGCCCTTGTTTGGATGGCCGCCCAGAAACAGCGAATCCAAAGATATTATAATCGAAGAGCCAATCTTCGACACTTCAAAATAGGGAACTTATTTCTGAGAAAAGTCACCATCAACACTCGAGATGCAAATGAGGGGAAACTCAGCCCAAATTGGGTAGGACCGTATCAGGTCCTCGATGTCATCGGAAAGGGATCTTACGAGCTTGGCACGATGAACGGTGAACAATCGCCAAATAATTAGAAAATATCGCTCCTCAAACGATACTATTGCTAAGGTATGACTCTCTTCCCTTTTATTTATATTTGACACTAACTAATTGTGGGTGTTCGACCGAGGATGTCGAGAAGCTCTACAACACGAATACCTTAGGTTTTAAAGCACGCGTTGCAATCTTTTTCCCTTAGATCGGTTTTTATCCCAAATGGGTTTTTCCGGCGAGGTTTTTAACGAGGCAACAATTATATGTTCTACATGGGTACAATTCAACAGTATCCGAGGCCTCTTTACAATCGACCTCGAATACTAGGGGGCATCTTCCTCGGATGTTATGTTTTCAAGGAAGATGTTTCATGTCAACAGGGCCTCGATAGGAAAAAATTTTAAAGGGACAAACGATCAAAGGAATCGTTCCCGTGTAGAGTATCGAGCCCTAAATGGAAAAACATGTACGTATGAACAATCTATTAAAAGAAGTACCTTTTCCAAATGTTCTGTCATGACCCAAACCTATGGGCCGCAACGAGCACCTGGTACCTTACTTAACCGAGTACCAACATAACATATCTTTCTTATTGTACTTTTATTGGCAAAAGGGCCAAACGGGCCGTCATGGGTTAACCAGAATAAACATAGGGAATACTCAATATAGGACGACCCAACCTGATATAAAAACTTATACATGTGATATATGGGTCTATAAGGCCAACATGATCATTTGTAAACTCAAAACATAGGCCGGCAAGGCCATACAAGCATCCGTATACATGACATTTGTCTACAAGCCTCTAAGAGTACATACTTAACATAAAGGTTGGGACAGGGCTCCGCCATACCAAACAATACGCGTCTAAATCATACTGACCAAACAAGCAACTCCGGAGCAAATGGAGCGCACCAACATCTTTCGCGGAGCTGATAGCCTACTTGGAGAACTCTCGACCTGTCTAACAGGACCTACGGGCATGAAACGCAGCGTGCCCAGGAAAAAGGGACATCAGTACGAATAATGTACCGAGTATGTAAGGCACATAAATAAGTACATAAAAGACATGGAAGAAATATGGAGTAAATGACTCAACCTGTAAGTCTGGATAACTATGTAAATTATGAAATACTTATAGTGTCATGCATATACGTATGAATGTCATGTCCTGCATATGTACATGTGTTCATAACATTATCAAGCCTTTGAAGGTATCCCATCATATCATCCCGGCCACTGTAGACAAAATCATCAACGTATACCAGCTGATCAGGTGGTGGTGCGTATATAACATCGTAACCTTTTCCCATATCCCATATACATATAATATAAATATATACGCGTATATAACGCCATCTAGTCATGGGTCAATGTACATGTATATACGAATACAATGCATGAGAAGTACGTCAATAAAATCTTTCGGAATGTCATAAGACCATTATGCCTTTGATTAATATCATGAAGTAAACTTTATCAACTTACGTATTTTCTTAGACCCATGAACAGATGATATAATAATAGGACGCATGGGGAATCAAGAACATAAGCATCTCTAGCATTTCTATGAATAGAGTCATTTATGAAAGTTGTGCATTTTCTCGTTTGGTTTGTATCGTATGGATCATGCCAAAAGGAAAGAAGGAATAGTCTTAACATACCTGAGCCGATTCTCTTGACAATCCCTCTAATACACGTCAATTGCGACAAGACCTAACGGCGGATCGAAGTAGGCAAATTCTGTATGATATCTTGATATCATAGCACGTTATTTCTTATCCAACTAATATCCACTCCATTGAAAGATAACACTTGCAATGATGAATAACCACTAAACTTACTCACCCAACGTTGCCGGTCTATAATCTAAAGTGGCAAGCATGCCATAACTCCATTCATATTCTCCAAGTTATCTTATCAACAAAGAGACCAAGAATGGCTTAGCTTAGCTTATCAATCCAAGAATTCTATACGTGTATACAAGGCATCTTATGCCTTATGACTCATCATGCCTATTAGTGCCAATTTGGCTTAGATTTATGCCAAGTGGCAGCCCCAAAAAAGATCTTTATCCACTTAATCATAATCATCCCCACAATCAATAAATTATCGATATAATTAAGAATTATCTCAAATTACTTAAAATACTACTCACTATCATGGTCATGTGGTACCTTGTATGGCATTAGTCCATAAATATCGAGTATCATAGCTCGCACGGTATTTTATCCCAAATTGAAAAACTTCGACGAAATTTGTTTTCTTCAATTTGCTTACCCTCTCACCTTCATGAATTTACTTATCACTTATTTGAAATAGCATAATGCTTATAATCTCAAAATAATCTTATTCCCAAACTTATGTCGATTAACTTACGACGAAACTTTAACATACGAAAACGCGGGATGTAACATCTCATTTTCGAGCTTCCATCAATTTACTTATGGCATATTTTTACGTAAGAAAATATGGGGTGTAACATGTTCCGTGCCTTAGTAAAATTTCTACTTTACAATTTCATACTTACGATCTATTGCGAAAACCGGCTCAAGAGCCAATTGTAACTTAAGCTTGGGCAATTAACCCTGTATTCGAGGACTGTCGTCCAAAAGTCGACCTTCTCGAATTATTAAACTTCGAAACCATAAGACTTTGTAAAGGAAACTCTCAATAATATAGGCCATGGCCATCCCACTCGGGGACTGGTACTTCGAACAGGTTCGAAGTACTGTTGAGAAACAACCACAAAGGGCAAATCTCAAGTTATAAGCTACGGCCGAATAACACGGTTCGGAGACGTTCGAATTCCGTAATAAAATAGGCCTTTGAATATTTTCACCAAATCGGTTAAACAAGGCTACCCTCGGCAAAATCACAAAGGGTTTCGATAACATCAACCCTCGAAAACCTTAAGGGGTACTAAATTGTTCGAACTCTCGAACAAACGTATGCCAAGGCATAACAAAGTTTTCGATAACTCTAACCCTTGATAATCCTAATGGGTACAGAGCTACCTCGTGCTAAGGTATAATAAATTCTTATGTGATTAATCTTTTAAGCCGAAAAAGGAAGAAGCCACTCTTTTGAGGCCATATGGGCCCAATTCAAAGAGCCTAAAGGCTATTATATTTTTTGGGTTCGAGGATCAGCCCTTGCTCAAACGAAACCTAAGGGTTTTTTCTACCCCGCGTTTGAGCAAGTACTCACTCGATGATTGAGACTATATTAGTCCAACTCCGATCAAATCACTTAACTTTCAGATCCACAAACAAACAAAAATTTTGCAAAACAACGACGTGAGTCAAAACCCTTACAAAGTATAAAATATATAAGGCGAAAAGCAAAACAGAGTCTTCGCAAAACCGAATTTCGAGACAAATTAGAAAAGATCTTTCATATATGCAAATATATTTACAATGACCACTCAGGGCCTTACACAGAAATCCAAATAAAAGAAAAAAATTCTAAGTGCCTAATCTTCCCCGGGAGCTCCATCTTTATCTTCTCCGCTCTCGGATCCACTTGCGCTCCCGGAGTCATAATCACCAGAGAGAAAAGCTTCGGCTTTGGCTTCGGCCTCTAGCACTTTTGCATTCACGATATCAGCCATAAGGTCAAAACCACGAGCATGAATCTCTTCGAGAGTCTCTCTCTGAGACTGGCACTTAGCATGCTCAGCAATGCAGGATAATCGAACCTGAGCAACATCAGAAATTTCCTTTGCTCGAGCGTTAGCGACTTCGGCATCAGCTCGGTAGACGGCCACGACCGCCTCCGCATTGGCCTTTACTCTTTCCGCTTCAGATGCGGCCTTTGCAAGCTCAGCGGCCAACCGAGTCTTGAGCTCTTCAATTTTCTTGGCTCGGGCCAAGCTCTCTTCCTTCATGCTCTGGAGTTGACGCTCAACCGAAGATAGCTGGGCTCGAGCAGTATCTTTCTTTGAGGCCAGATGGTCCATGTTCTGCTTCCACCCGAAAGTCTCTGCCTCTTTCATCTTAGCCTCCTCACAGAGCTGCTCGATCTTTTCGGCCTTCTGCCGAACCTGCAGGATCTAAGTGTTAGTCTCCAATATCAAATTGATATGTCAAGCTCCCAAAAATTTATATTACCTGCTCGATGAGATCGGTCTGCTCCTTATGAGCTATTGCTAATTCAGCTCGGAGGTCCCTGATCTCCTCTCCTTTTTGTACATAGAGGAGTTTGAGGGCATCTCTCTCCTCCGTGAGCCTTTTGAGATCGGCCTCACACCGGTTCAGCTCAGCTCGGGATTTGGAAAATGTTTCCTGATGAAGCGTCACAACCTATGGAGAAAAGAAGAAATCAGACAAAAGGAAATAAAAGCAAACATAAACCTAACAACGGGGGCTAAAATCTACCTAGCTCAGGAGTCGCTGAGCCTCATCAAAAATTATCGATGCATCCAGGTTGGAAACTTCATCGACCCCCGTGAAGCGGCCACGGAATAAGTCATCCCCTTCTTGGGCCATTCCCACATCGGGGGTCTCCAAAGACTGGTCCTCCCGAAATTGCCCCTCAGAAAATATGGGGAGGGCCGGCGTATCATCAATATTGATTACCCCAAGCAAGACACTTGGGACGCTCTCTCCTTTTCGGAGAACTTCCGAACCAGGCCCTTAAGGCACACACGCCGATTTTTCGTCACGACGGACAGGCTCACTCACCGATTGTTCGTCACGGCGGTAGACATCTTCAGCCTCTGATGACTCGAGGACTTTGCGCGGATAATCTTCCGAGATTTCCTCGATCTGAAGATGAGCCTCCTCGACTGTCACCGGCTCAATTGCTTTGAAGCTTCGGTGCTTCCCTTCTTTTGAGACACCAACTCATAATCAACATCTTCTTTCTCTTCTTCTTCATCTCGTAGCTTTTGGACTACATAGGCAGGCGGAGCGGCAATATCATTCTTCGACTTACGAGCTTTTCTCTTTTTGGGCTTCGGAGTATCGGAAGACGAGACCCTTTTCCTTTTCTTCTCTTTCGACGGCTTCGGAACCTCCTGTTCCCCAAGCGGGGGCGGCCTCATTTCGGCAACATCTTCGAGACCTTCATAAAAGGAAATCAAGTACAAATGAAAACAAACATTTCACAGAAGAGCATCAAAAAGCGTATAAGATAAGCTTACCATGATTCTTGGCCTCCCATCAGCCCTTCGCTAAATCGCTGCACGAGCGTTCAACATATGTAGAAGTCGACTCCAGCTTCCGAACCCAACTTTCGAGGTTCAGGATTGCACCGAGCACCCAGGGAATCGCTACATCATAAAAAAAGATGTGGGTGAGAAAAGATGTGAGTAAAGAAAGATAAAAGAAACAAATAAATCAACATAAGGTGTTGATGGGTTTGTACTTACGCTTCATGTTCCATTCCTCGGGGAATGGCATCTTCTCGGCCGGGATTATATTGGAGGTCCTCACTCGGACAAACCGACCCATCCATCCCCGATCCTTATCCTCGTCTGTACTCGAGAACAACACCTTTGTGGCTCGGCAATGGAGCCTTATTAATCTGCCTCGATAGAGACAGGGGCTATACAATGTAATGAGGTGGTCGAGGGTAAATGTCATCCCTTCGACCTTGCTCACAAAGAATCGGAGCAAGATAACAATGCACCAAAAGGAAGGGTGTTTCTGGCCAAGATTTATTCGGTATTGGCGGCAGAAGTCAAGGATAAACGGATCAACGAGACCCAGTATAAAGGGGTAAGTGTAAGGACTTAAGAACCCTTCTACGTAAGTGGTGATGTCCTCTTCAGGGGAAGGAATCGCCACCTCTTTGTTTTCCGGGTGGCAATCCTTTTTCACCTGCTCGAGATCGCCTTCGGTTATCGAGCATATATATCTCGATATGGGCTCACATCGGCCAGGGACCGAAGAGGGTTTCTCGACTTTGAAGTCGGAGGTACGATCGCACGACCCCAGAACACACTCCTTGATGCGCGTCTCCACCGGCGCTTTATCGCCGGCTGGGCGCGATGAAGAGGCTTTTTCCTTTTGAGGAACGGTTTTAGATATTTTCTCCATGACTATGTAAGTTCAGAAAAAAGAAGAAGATGAAATTTTTTGTTTTAAGAGAGGATTAGCGAACGACATGTAAATAATTTGCGCAATTGAGGAACTTGAAGGAAGTAGGAGAGCTTTGAAGATTAAGAAAAGTTTTGAAAGTAAAGTTTGAGAAAATTATGAGGAGGGTTTATTTAAAATGTTTGCCAGGACGGTTCAAAGGCATTAGTGGCCAACCATCAACAGGCATTAATTAATGATCTTGAGAACTGTACAGACGCGACGCTTCAGTCACCTCCATCGCTTACGTCACGAGGGTGACATCAGAATTGGTCGATGTGCAAAATCGAAGGCTCGGTTCGTTTCTTCTCACTACACTCTAAGAAATGAGGGGACTATCTGTATACGGTATAAATCGGGTTTGCCCGATTCTGCTAATTAATCGACACTAGGGGATCACATCGAGGGCCAGCCTCGTAATAGATCGGGCTATAGCACGAAGATGAGGTATCGAGTTCAAGAATCGTGGTGTCCGTCGAGACCGAGGCTAGCAGCAATCCAGAACTAAGTATGACCGACTTCGAGTGAAATGCAATAACGGAAAGGCGAGATATTCGTAACCGGTCGGAGATCACGGCGGGAATCTCGGAACAGATCAAATCAAGGGCGGTTATTTGTACCAATCATGGGATTTACTTCCATAGTAAGAATTGTATTATAATTAGGATTCCTTTAGTATATAAAGAGGGATCTCCATCATTTGTAAACACCTTACATTCACGAATACAAAAGCAATATAATTTTTCTGTCTTTGCTCATCAACTTGCTGCTCTTTAACTGTTCTTACTTTGCCAAGCTCGAAGGTTCATTAGCTCGAGGGCATTGATCAAACACTGGTTTGCTTTGTATTATTGTCAATTTACATCATTTATCTTTACGTTTATCAATTACTACTAGGTGAAATCGCATATCCTTAAAACTACATTATAAGTTTAATTGTTATCCAGTTTTTAGGGTAAACAGATGGATACATTATATTTGTTTTGCATTATATATACCAGTCTTGGTTTTTATGACCTTGGTGGTACAAATTGTTACTCTTTTTATTTTTCCGAAAATAAAACTGGTGCTTTAGCGCGGTACTCCCTTACTGGCAAAATATTATTGCTAAAAGATTGAAATGATAAAGGTGAAGTATGACATAATCTAATTAATCTCGCTAAATCTAAGGCAGACGAACAAACATTGACCTCCTTTTATAAATGTATGATCTTAAATGAAATACATAATTTAGGCTGTTAGCTGTAGCCTGAGTTTATATTACATACTCATTTTTGGCGATACCAAATGAAATGAATTAATGAATATACGAAATAAAACATATACAAATTTTATTCTTCTTAATTTTATTCCTAAGTCGAGTGGTAATGACAACTGAAAAATCGCTTTCAAAGCCATCTATATGCTGTCGATTATACCAAAGTAGTTCTGGAAAATGTTTTCTTTACTCATACGCACCGGCTAGTTCCTTCTACGTCACAGGAAGAAAATAAATATTTTGTGACCTTTTTTTTTGGTCGATTCAATCTATATAATACATAACTGCCACTATTTGAAGAAATTAAGCGGTAGATTAGAAGCAAATTTTGCGATTAAAGGTAACCGCTTCAATTAACAACAACAATAACAAATCCTATTCCTGGAAGGGTAGAGAGACTATTTTCGATAATCGCTTCAATTAGAAAACAGAAAATGGCGATTTGTGGATGCATTTAGCCGCAGCCTAGTCAGCCGCTTCAGATACTGAAGAGCTTTGAGGGAATTTGCCTGAACCGCTTGGCATGTTCAATTGCAGTGCAACGCTTTTTTGGTAGGGCTGTTCAAAATCGAGCCGAAACCGTTAAGCGAACCGAACCAATGACTTATTGGCTTATTGGTATCGGATTATCGGGATAATGGATGGTTAACCAATTGAGATTTGTAATTAAAGGCTTGACGGTTTGGAGACGAATTACTCAATTTTCTTATCGGATAAACTATTAACCCGTTAAGAATTTTTATATTTACACTTGTACCCATATGTATAAACTTGTTACTAGGGTAATTAGAATGGGGCCTTATATATTAAGGTAAATAATTATATCGGGATGACCTCTGCAACATCATAATCATTTTTGGCGGAGTATAGCAGTCAATTATTTTATCAACATGACAGCAAGCAACTAATTTTCCTCATAAGGTCTAGTTGGAAATGAAAATACTCCAACCCATTGTTCTTTGTTCTTAGATGAAAATCAGATAATTAGCCATGCCCTACCACCCTAATCTTTCGTTAGAAGAACGTCTACATATTCTAAATAATCATACTGGGTAGGATGTATCTTCTTAAGATTTAAATGTTTTTCATCAACATTTGTTAGATATTAAACTTTTTTAGCCTCTAGATGAAAATGTAGAACGCACCGGTTTCAATAGCACAGCAATAATTACTATTCAAATGTTAGCAAGTTAAATTTTCGCAGTCCTTGATAAAAAAAGGAAATAGGTATTGATTGTTCAAGCAACTACACTGCAATATTATTATACGATATTGATTGTTCCTACAGTGGCCAATAATTTATTATTATTTTTTGGCCGTTTGGTATTGGTTGTTCAAAAAATTTTTATTTAATTTAGCCGATAAATCGCTCGATAATCGTTAATCCGATACCAATTCGCCCGTTGTCTTATTGGATGGCTAACGGATTACTACATTTATAATCCGATAATAAGCCGAACCGTTAAACGTAATTATCCGCCCAATCCGCCCGATAAGCACCCCTATTTGTTGGTGTGTTTTGTGGCGGTGCCGACAATCGCTTCATTTGAAGTGTTTTGCGGCTGATAATTGGTCCATTTTGCAGCATTTTTTTTTAAATTATAATTAAAAAAAGGATGTTTTAAATCCTCAGAATTTACGAATTTTTTAAAAAGATTATGAGAAATGATAAGAAAAGTTAAATCTTTTTAGTTAAACAATTTATTCAGCTCCAGAGAATAAAGGTCAAAATACCAACAAAAGTATACGCACCTAGGTCTATGGTCGGTCAAAACTTTTTGTCTCGATTATTTAATTTAGTTATTCATATTAACTCTTTAGTCCTTACCTAATTAAGATATTGTCCACATATAATTTCTATTGTATTATCCGGACAAATTTATTCATATTGTTACACTATCCGGTTAAATTTATCCATATCATCAGTTGACTTTTAAAAATTACCCCTCGATTGTTAGGTAATCCAAAATCTCATAATTTTCTTTTATTTAAATCACTTGTTGTTCTTCTTGCTCCACTATTTTCAGAAATTACTGTTGATGTGAATGTTAAAGGTACTAGACTATATACAAATAATTTATGGATAATTTTAATTACCATTGCACTCACTTCTCTTCTTGTGATAATGAGTTTGGAATTGATTTGAAATTTTATTTGGTTTTCAACCATATACACACCATAGAATTCAGTGTGTCTATTTATTGTGTATTATGTGTAGCTTCTCATCATGTATATACAAATATGTTCGAATATATTTTATTACTGTCTGATTAGTATAGAGTTCGATCGACTAATTTAAGAGTGCACAATGCGTAGGCATTTGATTAAAGCAAAGTTGAATTCGTCAACTTTTATCATTAATACTTGCAAAGTCTCCATACTTATTGTGCAACCAATTCATTAAGCTTGGGGTACTGTAGATACATACTAACCGTTATATTATTTTAATATTTCTTTCTCTAATATTTTTCCAATTAATAAAACAGATAAATACCAACTATTTCGAAAATAGTGAATCAAGAAAAAGACTAAGTGACTTAATTAAAATAATTTAGGATTTTTGAGTCATCTAACAGATTGAGGGGTAATTTTTGAAAGTTTATTGATGATAGGGGTAAATTTGGCCGAAAAATTTAACCAAACAGTATTACCGAAGGTTAGAAGTAGACATTATTCGAAATTTTCCCGATTATAAAAGGCTAAAGGAAAGAAGAAATCTATATATTATTAAAAGGCATGGAGAGGTAAAAGCTCTCTCCTTAAGCCAAGTGGCAGCTTAGAAAAAAGTCACATGGCATAAGTAGTTAATATTAGTTGTTGGTTATTATTTTTGAATTTAAATATATATAAAATAATAAAACAAAATATATTATAATAAAAAATGAAAATTAAAAAAATAAATTTAATTTAAACTGGAAAGTAGTTTCAAGTTGGAGTTTTTAAATTATTTTAAAATCAAAAACTAAAAAATTTACATATTATTAAAAGGAGAGGTAAAAGCCCTCTTCTTAAGCCAAGTGTAGGCTAGAAAAAAGCCACATGATATAAGTAGTTAATAATTAGTTATTGATTATTATTTTTAAATTTAAATATCTATAAAATAATATATAAAATATATTATAACAAAATACAAAAATTAGAAAATAAATTTAATTCAAATTGGAAAGTAGTTTCAAGTTGGGTTTTAAAATTATTTTAACATCAAAACTAAAAAATCTGTATATTGGTTATTATTAACTAAACTAACTGAAGCCCTCTCCTTAAGCATAATGACAGCCTAGAAAAAAACCACATGGTATAAGTAGTTAAAAATTAGTTATTTAGTTAATAATTAGTTATTTAGTTACTAATTAGTTATAGGTTATTATTTTTGAATTTAAATATCTATAAAATAATAAAACAAAATATTTTATAATAAAAATGAAAATTAAAAAAATAAATTCAATTCAAAAGCCACCTTGCCACCCACTGCCACTAAATCACCACCCTCCAAGTTAAACTGGTACTTGCTGTTGCGCCAGGAGCCGTTGCACCAGGTGCTAAAGCATGGGTGTTTTGTATCCATTGAGCAAAAACAGGTTGTAATTGTATAGCGGTATCTNCTTTTCAAATCCTCCTAGCCATTATCCTACTGCAATAATTCTTGCTAAGAAGAATGCCCATGTTGTGGCAATTCCACCCAGAAGGTAATGGGTTACTCCTA